CCACGACGACGACGACGACGACGAACCGACGACGACGACGGTGACGACCACCACGACGACGACGACGACGAGTTAGGACTATTATAGTTAGGGTAAGAGGTGGTCTCAAACATTTGTTTCTTTGTATAGTTTTCCTTCCCAGGGTAAATCACAACCTCGGGCTGGTGGTGGCGGCGCCTGGAGGGCGTGCGTTCAGGGGGCGTGCGAAGGTAGGAAGGGCAGCGGTGACTTGGCTGCCATTGCAGCACGTCTCGGTTGCTGGACCCAGCAGAGAGACAGCGCCTCAATGAGAGGGGCGCGCGAGCAACGGCTGCCCGTCGACGAGCTCGCAAGGCAGGGCCCAATGTCAGATGTGCTGCATTTGGTGTGAAATCTTCGGCGGTTCGTCGTCGCCAGGTCGCTGCTAGCAGGAAGGCTGTGTGCGAGTCCTTGGTTAAGGCCCACCTTTTCCTTCGCCGACGAACTCTCTGAGATCATGGCGCCTGGCGGCAATCTGAGCGCCTCTTTACAGGATAAGGTTGCACTTTGCAGATCGATCACACGTTTTGAAAGTGCAAGGAGACGATCAGAAGAGCGCGCCGAACTTGAGATATTCTGTGAATGGGAGAAGTTGCACGGAGTTGCTAGCGTTGAGGAGTTAAGGAGCGCAGTTCCCGATCTGCCCTTGCACCGTCTCGTTCCTGTTCCTTCAGTTCCCGGCAGTTGCTTTGAGTTCGTGCCAGAGAGCCACGCAACAGCGAACGCAATAAGTTGGGCGGCCACTCGGATGGGGCTCGAACATCACCACGGCGTTTGTCAAGCATATGCAGGTCGTCAGTTCGCTCAAGCGTCATTCAGAGTGTCCGCCCATCGACGCATCTGATGGCTCGGAGCCCAGGACGCACTTGACACCGTCTATTTGCCAACTTGCTGGGATATGTATCTGCGCAGGATGTGGCCTTCGCCTGAAAGCTATGGTGTCGGCGCTGAAGAACAAAGTTTTCCAGGTTGCGTTCAAGGGTGATCGGCTCCTAGCTGTTCGTCGCGGCTTCGTGATCGCACGCCCCCAAGGTGCCGAGCCGCTGCCTCCCAGGGGCCCCGGCCTTGAGGTTGACGAGTTCCTCCACGTGGGTCTCGAGCTCATTGCGCCTAACAAGTTCTCTTACCAGGAGGTAGAACACGTTCGAGAAGGGCTTCCAGGCGATCATGTTTTCAGTCTTGATATGTTATACGCGAAGGCTCGCGCGCCCTCCAACACACGTGTTCGTTTTTTTTTTTTTTTGGGGGGGGGGGCATAAGAGTGCGCGTAGTCGAGGGCTCAGGGGATTGGGCAGGTGGAGGGCCCAGGAGGAGATGACGGAGACGGGCGGGGTAGACAGGGCATGGAAGGAAGGGGGTGGGCGGGGTTGGGAAGTAGCAGAGGGCCTCTAGGCGAGTGCGCGGGTCGTCGAAGGAATCGATTTTAATTTTGGGCCTTTCGCGGGCCGCCTCGTCACGACATATTTTAAATCGCTTCGGAGGGTAGGTGGTGCTCACCGAGATCAGTTTCTGACCGTAGCGGGGCCCTCGCGGGTGGCCTCGGCTGCGCCCGCTGGCCGGAACGATTTGGGCCATGTCTTGTTTGTTTGTTTTTGGGGCCCCGTCGTGCGAATGCAGCCTGTTGCGTCAGAAGTTGAGGTTTATTGGTGGACCTTCTCCCCATCGAAGCCCCTCTTGGAACCGTGCTGGGATGCCAGTGGCTGGGGGCCATCTTGAGATCTTGAGGCGGATCCGAAGGTCTTTGGGTATTGGGGGGTAGCGTGTCATGTCGTTTAGCTTGCCTTGGGACAGGCTGGCAATCGCGGTGACCTATTGGGCCGTAGGCGCGGCAACCAACAGTTTAAATTGTTGCCGGGCCTGCTCGGGCGACCTCGGAGTTCCAGACGGAGTATGATGCATTGGAGTTCCTTCTTTCGCGTTCAAAATGGCGTTGCATCTTCTATGAGTTGGACGACAGCTGTCGGCCCACAACCTCTGTGCTGCGACACATAGTGCCAGCGATCGCCCAGAAGTACGGCGACTCTGTTGCTCATATGTGTTGGCCACCGCCGCCGAGTAAAAAATAGCTGGGAAGGCATGTGGCCCAGCTCCAGGTGCAGACGCAGAAGAAGCTATACATGCTGCCATTGCCGATGCAGCTGCTGAGGGGGAGGACCCTGGGGCGCCTGGAGATCATCCTGGTGCCGATGTTCACGGCGAGGGTGGTGGCGATGATATCGGTAAAGTCACGGTTGACTTATTGGGCGAGTTCATCGGCCCGCTGGAGGAGCCTCCAGAGCCCGATCCTCCTGGTCCTGCAGGTCCTCACGGCGGCGATCCTGGTCCAGGTCCTCATCCTGTCCCAGAGCCTGCTGGTGCAGCGCCAGATGTGCCGCCGCCACCACCGCCATATGTGCCACCTGCTGCGCCAGCGGCTGCTCCTGGGCACGCAGAGCGTGGGGTTCCAGCAGGCGGCTTCGTCAGAGTTCCCAATGGTACCATATCATTTTATTCGGTTGGTAGGAAACGGTTCGCGGCATGTTGTTCGAAACATCCTGATTGTAATGCTGAGCGCAGTAGGAACGTCGATAAAGCAGTTGTCCCAGGTGGTCCGATGATTTACGGAGGGAGGCCGATTGGCTTCCTCGCTGCATGGCTGGCCGCAGGGCTGCGGGATGATATCAGGACCAAGGCTGACCACAAGGCCATGTTGAGGGGCGGGGCCATCGAGCTGGCATCGCAAGACTTGCGAATGCACCGCCGCAATGCTCTTTCGTTATTGCCTGGCGGCGAGCTGATCCAAATTTTCGAACGTCAACGTTGCGACGGCGAGCCTGTGGACGCTGAGACTCTCAGGGGTCTTTGGGGATAATGTATGAGGCCATGATGCTGAGCGTTCTTGGTGGGCCTCACGCCACTTTATTTTCAGTCGACGCGTGCAGCGTACAAGTGAACTTGGCACGCGCATCTTGCAATGGGAAATGTAGTGATAACGATGTGAATGCACGAGATACCCTGACCCAATCAATGCCAGATCTGTTGTCGGGCGCAGGGTGGACGAGGAAGAACGTGCAACGCGTGGCGAACTCTCGGGCCGTCTTGGGTTCACCACTATGCGGTGGCCTGTTGCAGGAGCGCGCCCAGGGGCGGCCATCTTGGAGCCCTCAAGGGCATATTGGGCGTCTTGGGCGTCTTGGAGTCGTCAAGGGCATATTGGGCGTCTTCGGCGTCTTGGGGCAATCTTGCGCGGCCATGGGCCATGGGCGTCTTGGGGCCATCTTGCAATGGCATCTTGGGCGTCCGCAGCGCGGCCGCTGCAGTGCCGACGATCCGTGTGAGGAGTCAGAATGGTTCGCCCTGGGGTTGCGCCGGACCACGCCGGACCCACCGGACCCACCGGACCCGCCGGACCCACCAGACCCACCGGGCCCACCGGACCCACCGGACCCACCGGACCCACCGGACCCACCGGACCCACCGGACCCACCGGACCCGCCGGACCCACCGGACCCACTGGACCCACCGGACCCACCGGACCCACCGGACCAACCGGACCCACCGGACCCACCGGACCTGAAGATCCGATCCCGACGACGATGATGTTGATGCACATGAGGAAGATGATTTCGACGATGGCGATGATGATGTCGGCGACGACGAGCATGTTGTCAATGGTCAAGATGATGAAGTTGATACTGCTGGTAATGTTAATGATTTTGTTGACTGATAACGAAGATGATGATGATAATGCTGGTGATTAAGATAAACATGATGGGTACGGACTGCACCATGACCGTCATGGTCATCATGACCGTCATCGTCCCCACTATAGAACCCCTGTCATCTTACGGTCTCAATTTAATTGAGACGGCTGCATGACTTGATTTTTGGGATTCGTCTCAATTTCTTAATTCGGACGTTTCGGTTGTGATTTACCGATGTGAAGTAGGTAAATCTATAGGTTGCGCTATAGTTACGTTATATTGTACAAGCGTGGATATCGTCCGACGTTCTTGGGAATTAACAAAAAAACCTTCCTCGACCTCCTTCCCCTCCTTCTCTTAGGGCTTGCCTTCTCGTCGGGGGGCTCGAACCCGCGGCCGCCCCGCGGCCCGCGGGCAGCCCGCGGCCGCGCCGCGGCCCCCCTCTCGCAGCTGCGCAGCCGCGGCCGCGGCCGAGATCGGGGGCGCCGCGCGGCGCAAGGCGCCTTAAGGGGAAACGGGGTGGGAACGGGGGTTCGCGGCAGAGCCGCGCCTTCGAAAGCCATATGGCGCATCGAGGGCGGTCGTGCCAGCATTCATGAACATGCATGGGCACGGCGATCGACTGTGCGTCGATCGTCGTGCCCATCATATATATATGGCACGACTTGCCCTCGAGGCGGCATGTGTCGAAAGCAGAGCGGATCGATAGACGCGGCGTTCGACCGCGCGCGGGCCCTGTCTGGACCCCCAGGACGATCCCCCGCCCCCTCCTCACCTTCTTCCCCCACGCCGCTTTCTGGGTGTCCTTTTCCTTCTCCTCCTCCTCCTCCTCCCCCTCCTCCGCCTTCTCCTCCTCCTCCTCCTCCTCCTCCTCCTCCTCCTCCTCCTCCTCCTCCTCTCGCGAGGACATCCCTAAGCCCACGATGCTGAGCGACATTGTTGGAATCGGTGACCAGGGCCATACTGTGGATGTATAGACATCCTCCAGCATTTATTTTTTCGAGCCTGGCCCGCCATCCAGGATCGAAAAAATCGATGCTGGAGGAGGTCTGGTGGTGGCGTGGATGTCCCACATGGCTCGTGCGAAAGCCGAGAAAGCCCAGGCCCCGTCTCCTCCTCCTGCTCCTCTCCTTCCTCCTCCTCCTCCTCCTCCTCCTCCTCCTCCTCCTCCTCCTTGTCCTCCTCCTCATCCTCCTCTCCTTCCCTCCTCCACCTCCTCCTCCTCCTTCTCCTCGTCCTGCTCCTTCTGTTCCTCCTCCTCATCCTCCTCGCGCGTAGCGCAGCCTCCAGGCGCTCGGGATGACCAGCAAAAAGAGCCCGAAGCACCTTAAGACGGCGGACATCGATGGACCCACGCTCGCGAAATGCTTGACGGTGGACGCCATATTAGACACGACCCCGCTGATGAAAGGCTCCTATCTGTGTCATTTGTCCTTGCACCTCCTCCCTCCTCCAGGCCTCTTCCGCCCTTCATCCCCCCCTCCCTTCGCCCAGCGCCCTCTCCCCTCCCCCCTCCCTCGCTCTTCATCCATCCCTGCGCTCCTTAAGGTCCCCCCCTTCATTATCCCTCCCTCGCTCTTCCATTTATGTGTGGATGGATCCATGTGCCTCAGCCGTCTCTCTCATGTGTCTGTCTGTTTGTCTGTATGTCTCTATCTCTCTCTCTCTCTCTCGACTCTCTCCCCCTTCAGATCGGCCCCTCCCTCTACCTGCTGCGAAGCTTGGCTTCTTATGTGTAATGTCACCTCTGACCGTTCTCTTTCTCTCTATGTCTTTCTTTGTGTCGTTGAATCTCGCATTTCGTTGTTGCGCATCTGCGATGGCGGCGATTGTGACGATCGTTGGATCCGACGCCCGAGTGGAATAGAGTGGAGTCGTTCCCCATCCGCTCCTACTTCCACTCTACTCCTCTCTACTCGCGCGTGTCTCCTGGAGGTTGCCCGATCCCAGACTACAGCACCTACCCGTGCGTGAATTCCTCGGATCGCCCGAAGTTGGCGATGCTCGCGGAGCCAGGGAGGGGCATCATGCCGCGCCAAAGTTGGAGGGCGAACTATCGATGAGGGAAGGGAAGGCGAAGGAAGCAAGGATGGAAGGAGGAAGGGGTCAAGAGGGGATCGAGGCAGGCGGGAGGAGGTAGGGTTGGGAGGGGGCGGCGCTGGGGAGGGGAAGCAGAGGCGTGTTGATTGAGCAGGATACGGCAGGGGAGGATTTCATCCCGACGTTGACCAACATCACGGTCGCCACTGAGGGTTTGCGGATCTCCCAGAAGACGGCGGAGGCGCCAGGGGTTCTATTAGTGATGAGTGATGGTAACGATGTGGCGATGATGGTAGTGATGATGGCGGTGGCAGTGATGAGTAATGATAGCGTTGACGATGGTCACGGCGACTTATGGTGGCGGCGATGGCGGTGACCTCCCCGTCCTCATCCTCCTCCGCCTCTTCATCCTCATCCTCCCCCTTCTCGTCCCCCTCCTCGTCCTCCTCGTCCTCCTCATCCTCATCATCCTCCTCCTCATCATCCAAAGCATCATCCTCATTCTCATCCTCCTCAATCCTACTCAGCCTCCTCGCCCCTCAATCATCATCCTTCCCCCTATTCGCCCGCCAGGCTGGGTGGGACGAGGCTTTCAAGGGTAAGTTCATCGAGTCCTACCGCACGGACAAGGCCAGGAAGCCCACTCCAGCCATCATCAGTGGCAACAGGTTCCTTTGAGGACGGGAGAGGTCTGGATTGGGGAGGACGGCAATGGCAAGATGGCAACGATGGCAACGATGGCAACGATGATGATGGCAACGATGGCAACGATGCTGATGGCAACGATGACAACGATGATGATGACAATGATGGCAATGCCAAGCTGATGCTGACAATAGCGAGTGTGATTACGATACGGCGCCGATGATTACCGCGAGAGTTTCGACGACGACGACGACGACAGCGACAGCGACGTCGATGGTGATCGATGATGCTTTCCTGAGCTCGCGTGTTCGACGCCGTCGCGGGAGGAGGGAGGGAGGGAGGGAGGGAGGGAGGCTGGGAGGAGGAGGAGGCGGAGGAGGGAGGAGGAGGAGGAGGAGGAATCGGAGTAGGAAGGATGGGGAGGACGAGGAGTACGAGGAGGAGGAGGAGGAGGAGGAGGAGGAGGAGGAGGAGGAGGAGGAGGAGGAGGAGGAGGAGGAGAGAGGGGAGACGGACGTGCTCGCGATGTGTGTACATGTATGTGCATATGTGTGTGTGCATGTTTGCACGTGCATGGGCGTTGCATGTGTAGAATGCGTATTTGTGTGTATGTGCATGTGCGTAAGTATGTTTGTATGTGTGTATGTGTACAGTGTTTGATAGTATGTGCATGCATGTGGCCATGTGTGAGAGTACGTACATATCCGTATACGTGTGTATCAAATACCCAATCTGGCCCCACCGAATCCCCTCTGATCATATCCCATCCCTTCCCCTGCCATCCCCTCCGCTGCAATTCCACTCGTGCCGTCCACTCCCATCTCTTCTGGGGCGTCCCCTGCCATGCGATCCAACGCCAGCCCCCCCCCCATTAGAGGTTCGTGCAGTGCCGCCAGCTCCGCATCATGCTGTCACACTTCCAGCGGGACCAATCGCGGAGCTCCTCGAAGGTCGACTCCGTCGGTGACGAGGCCGAGGACTGAGTTTTTTCACACCCTGGTAGGATCGGCAAGATGAGCAGCAGCAGCAGCAGCAGCAGCGCAGCAGCAGCAGCAGCAGCAGCAGCAGCAGCAACAGCAGAAAGCAGCAACGACCAGAGGACCAGATCAGCATGAAGATCCGAGGACGGATAGCAGGAGCAGGAGAAGCAGCAGGAAGAGCAGCAAGAGCAACGCAGCAATATGACCAGAGCAGCAGGAGCAACGTAGCGAGAGCAGCAGCAGGAGCAACGTAGCAGGAGCAGGAGCAGCAGCCTGAGGATGAGCAGGATGCTTTGATATCGATGTTCCTCTCACTCGGGGGTGACGGCGCGAGACACGACGGCCCGCAGACCCCGCGGGACGAGTTCGACATCGAAGACGTTGACGAACAGGAGCTGCAGAACTACTTCAAGCTGATCTCCGAGGAATGCGATCTGCCTTTCTTTTTTCAAAGGGGGCAATTTCATCCCCCCCTCTCTGTTTCTGAAGTTTTAAGGCTCCAGGACTTGAGGCGTCCGTCAGGATCTAGCGTCCAACCCTCTTCGGGATCGATTGCCCAACCCTCTTCGCCCCCCTCATTGAGGGAATGGCCTGCAAGGATGAAGGGAGGGGGAGAGGGGACGGGGTGCGAGAAGGAAGGAAGCGAGGCGAGGGAAGGGACTTAAGAGGGAGGGGGAGGGGGAGGGGGAGGATGCGGAGGAGGAGGAGGAGAAGGAGCAGCAGGAGGAGGAGGAGCAGGAGAAGGAGGAGGAGGATGAGGAGGATGGAGACGAGGATGGTGATGATGATGATGTTGATGATGATGATGACGATGATGATGATGATGATGATGATGATGATGATGATGATGATGATGATGATGATGCTGATCATGATGATGATGGTGATGATGATGGTGATGATGTTGCTGTTGTTGGTGATGCTGATGATGATGATGATGATGATGATGATGATTACGATGATGATGGTGATGATGATGACGGTGATGATGATGACGATGACGATGACCATGATGCTGATGATGATGATGCTGACGATGCTGGCGATGCTGATGATGATGATGATGATGATGATGATGATGATGATGATGGTGATGGTGATGGTGGTGGTGGTTGTGGTGGTGATGATGATGATGACGGTGACGATGAGCCACATAAGAACGCTTCTCATCTTGAGGATGCTGAGAATGATCCCGACGTTGGAGTGCTGAACATCAAGCTGGCCAAGGAGGCTGGACAGGAGGACATGGACATGGAGATTAATGATGCGATCGTGGCTACATGTAGCCAAGCCATTGATGACGGTGCCGATGACGACGACGACTACCCCTTCATGCAGAGCCTCCAAGGCGCCAAGCACACCACGGGAAGGAAACACAAGGGCGGCAGGCCCAAGAAAAAGAAGCACAAGCGCAAGGCGCAACCACCAGGCGAGGCACCTGCAATTGAGGGCATCCTGCAACGGTGGCCGCAAGTCGGCCCATCGGCTAAGGCTAAGGCCGCCGCCGCCGCGAAGGCGGTCATGAAGAAGCCAGCGAAGCAGACGGCGAAGAAACCCGCAGGCGCGGTTGCTAAGAAGGCAACGGAGCACGAGGCAGGAGGTGAGGAGGAGGATCCGCTCGCCGCAGGAGCTGCAGGCAGCGGCGCCCAGGCAGAGGCAGCGGCGGCGGCACCGCCAGATGCAGCGATCGCCGTCCACGATGGCAACCAGGACGAGGAGGACGAGGAAGAAGCGCAGGACGAGGAGGGCGCAGAGGAGGATGGCGAGGAGGAGGACGCGCCCGAGGAGCACGAGGAAGGGCCCGAGGAGGAGGAAGCGCCCGAGGAGGCTGACGCGGCAGGTGCAGCGCCCCCTGGCTACGGCCCGCTGAGCCACTACCCGTGGCCCCCGTCGGACGAGTACGGCACGCTCGCGCACTACGAGGACACGTCGGGCCAGTCGATGAGTGTGAGAATCGTCCGCAGGAAGAGCGAGTCCATCAGCACGATCAAGTACAAGAACGAGTTCACGCAGTGGAAGTGGCAGCAGATGCTTCAAGTGCCAGATAGTTCGGTTCAGGAGTGGCAGATCAAGCAGCTAGCACTGGACGACGTGGTGACGACGACAATGGCCTCCGAGACGATCATCAAGCACATCTTCAATCGGATTGTCGCGACCCGCGCCGCTGACAAGCACGCGGCCATGCACATCAAAAAGGAGGCGTACATCGAGCTGGGCATCAGCGAGCAGGTATTCTAGAGGTGGGAGGGCGCAGGGCAGTATAGGACAGCAAGCGCGACGGTCAAGATAATGACGACTACGGATCAGCTCAGGATTACGACAACGATGGTGACTACGATTGTGACGGCCATGGTAAATTGAGATAACTATGGAGATCAACGATGGGGATCGGGAGTATGCTCATCTTGCAGCCTACACGGGGCCTCGTTGAAGCAGGGCACCGTGTTATTCCAGCCACCTCGACAGCTCATTGCTTGCATCACTGAATGCTGGTTTTGAAGATTATGAAATATTCTAAGTGCTCCCCATACATCCTTTAGCCTTAGCTTTGGTGTCGGACGGGAGGTGGCGCGATGCAGGATGACATGATGGACTTCGCAGATCCAGCATTCGTGGGAAGGCTGCAGTGGGGGGGATCTCATTTCCATGCGTCCTCCTCCCTTACCCGTCCTTGCCCTCCCAGTCCCCGTCCCTCCCTCCCTCCCTAACTCTCCCTCTCTCCCCGTCTCGCTCTTTCTCTGTCCTTTTTCCACCCCTGGAATCCATTCCTGCACTGCCCTCGTCCAGTTCCCAATGTCGGGGCCCCGTGGCAGCAAACATACATATCTTAGAGGCTGCTATAGTTTGTATTTCGTGATCGACGTTATCGGCGTCATCGGGTCCGTCTACATCTTGCACGGGCTGCTGGCCAGCTTGTAGGCCGTCGGCTGGGACGGCAATTACGATGTAGGGATGAGGTTGGGTAGAGGAGCACGAACGAGGAGCTCTGGAGGAGATGAGAGGATACGAGGTTGACACGCGCTGCAAAATGAGTTAAGAACCATTATGTCGGGCAGATGTTTGAGCTTGCTTTAGCTGCGCCGTGGCAATCGAGCCTGGATTGGTTCGCTCCCAACGTCCACGCCCCTCTGCATCGATGTGTGCGTCCCGTCCAGCTTCCTTCCACCTGCCAGTACAAACGAACCGACCACACACACTCACATCCATTCATCATCTCATCGCTCCCCCACATGGTTATGCAATGTGATGCTCCCACCCCCCCGCGCCAGGTGAACGGATGATATCGACTTTGACTTTCTCCGTGGGCTTGGCGGCTCTTTGCAGGGAGGGCGCGCAGTGCGGCCTCGAAAAACAGAGGAATGATCCAATGCGGGGATGCTCCCGCAGGGATGCTCTGTTCTTGCCTCTTCGCTTGCTCCGTCGGTCCGTTTACGAGCCGACGATCGATGATCGACGCGTCGACGATTGATGCGTCAAGATAGGGGCGAATCCATGGCCCAGGCTCCGACGATCCATCGAACCAGGATGAGGCGATGTACACAGCACCGCAGCTAGGTCGAACGATTTGGCAACTCTTCTCAGGCGACCCTCGAGCTCGAATATATGCGCTGCTTTCAGGGCGCCACTAACGAGGGGGAGGGGAAAAGCAGGAGGAGGAGGAGGATGAGGCGGATGGGGTACGGGACCAAATGGGAGTTGGAGGAGGGGGGAGGCGGCGGAGCAGGAGGAGGGGGAGGAGGAGGCGGAGGAGCAGGACGAGGAACACGGTATCCAGACGCCATACGCAGCAGGGACTGCGGAATCATCGGCCCCTCCTCCACCTCCTCCTCGCGCTCCTTCTCTCTCTCTCTCTCTCTCTCTCTCTTTCTCTCCTCTCGCTCCCTGCGCACAATTGCAAATGCCTCTGGGGAGGGATGAACGGCGGAGGGGTAACATTATTCACCGCTGTTTGACGATCGATAGCGGCCGTTCGTCTCAGAAATCGCATCCGCATCCGAATGAACGGGTGTCTCCTGTGCGTGCGGCCTGGTGTCGCGCGCATTCACGCGCGCGCTTCGATCGGGAAAACACACGCGCCGCGGGGCCTCCTATGGGACCCCTCCTCTCTTTCGTCCCTCCTCTGGGCTCCTGCCTCCTGCCTCAGGGCTCTCCTCTGCTCCTGCCTCAGGGCCCTCCTTTGCCATCCAGCCTGCTCGAGAAGCACCCGCGGCACGCGTCTTTCCAGAAGCTGGCAACTCGAGTTGCAGGCGAACGGGGAGATACGCTCGACGCATGCACAAGGGGACAGATCAATGCGGGGATGAGGAGGGCTCGAGCTCGAAGAGGAGTGGAAGGTGTAAAGGGAGGAGGAGGAGGATGCAAGGTGATGGGAGGCATACATACGTTTGCGAGAACGGGAAGGGCTCGAGTAGTCCTAAGACACTGCTCTCCACCAGATGGCTTGACTACACGCATGTCGGGGTCAGGGGGTGATGCGTGATGTTGTGGCGTTGGTGCGTGAGCGCGCGTGTGAGCAGGCGAGCGTGCGTCAGTAGGGGTCAATATATTCGCGCGCGCATGCTTACAACTCTAAATATATACACCTGCATATATGCACCTGTAGATGTGCGCCTGCTTCGTTTACATGCTCACGTTCACGTACGTGTGTACAAATACGTACGCATTCATAAGTGCATACATAGGTGTGTGCACACTAGCGTACAGTTGGTATGCGTGCATGACCGCGTGAGTAGTTGCAAATACGTATGCGACTTCGAAGTACGATCTGCATACATGTATGTACATACATGGTGTGCATACATGGGCGTATACATATATGCCGTACTATGTTATACCACATGAGTGTGTACATGTATTGTACGGCTACAATTGCATGTATGTATGCGTCGACGTACATTTCCGTTTATATATATATGACGGAGGAGGATGAGGATGAGGGAAGGAAGGAAGGGACGGAGGGGGAGAGGGAGGGAGGGAGGGCGAGAGTGATATCGAGGGAGTGAGTGTGAGAGGGAGGGAGGGAGGAAGGAAGGATGGAGGAGGAGGAGGAGGGGAAGGGGAAGGAGGAGGATGATGAGGAGGCGGAGGAGGAGGAGGAGGAGGAGCAGGAGGAGGAGGAGGAGGAGGAGGAGGAGCGAGGATGATGAAGAGGAGGAGGATGCTAATGATGAGGATGGTGATGATGAGGAGGAGGAGGAGCAAGATGAGGACCATGGTGAGGCTGATGGGGATGATGATGAGGATGGAGATGAGGAGGGCGAGGAATATGATGAGGATGAGGAATATGTGATGGAGAGGCACTCGTTTTGTTGACCATCTGAAGGCCTGCATGGCCCGCGGCAACTGTTATTTCAAACAAAAACTGGAATATGACAGCAAAATCCGTGCGCGCGCGTATACATATATTAATGTGTGTGTGCATGTGTGTGTTGCGTGTATGCGTGCATGCGTGCATGCGTGTGCGCGCGGGAGGAAGCGGGGATGCAGCGGGAACAGAGCGGTGCCGCCCAGGTGCAGCAGGTGCACCTGGGCTCGCAGGACATGGCTGGACATCACCGACGACATATACGCAGCTTTTGTTTACACGCGCGGATTGACTAGACTTGCCGCGCTTAGGGGTGGGGGGCGCCCACCGATTCCCGAGCTGCCCCATGGGGGGGGGGCACCCTTCCCCCCCCTTCCCCCTTCGGCCCTAGGGGGGCCGATCTGCCCTCGCCCCATATATACATCGAAACCCCACCGCCCCCCCCCCCCCACCCCCCCTCCCACCGCCCACCCCCCTCCCCCCCTGCCCCCCTGGGTGGGGTGGAAGGGGGGGTGCGTCAGAAATCCTAAGCACCTGAAAGCCTAGTAAACCTATCCCCATGGGCCCTGCGAGCTCACATCCCTGGCGCGCGCCCCCCCCCCCTCCCCTGGCCCCCTCGGAGATGCGCCCCCCCACCCCCCCCCCCCCCCCCCCCCCCCCCCCCCCCCCCCCCCCCCCCCCCGCCCCCGCACCCCTCTCCCCCCCCCTGTGGGCCCTGAGGGATCGCCCCGAACTCCCATCGCAACCCCAGACTTTGCCCCAGGCCCGCAAGCGCACCCACCCCCCCCCGCCCCCCCTTCCCCCCACCCCGATCGGCACCCAGCGCCCCCCTGAAGGCCTTCGAAGCTCACCCGAGCACCCCTCAAAGCCCTCGAAGCTCACCCGAACGCCCCTGTGTGCCCTGGAATAGGCCCCGACCCCCGCACGGGAGACGCGCGATACTCTTCGGGCGGTTGATAATTTTCATTGCGTTTTAATGTTTTTTATATGTTTTTTTTTTAATGTTTTTCATGTTTTTTTTATTGTGTTCTAATGTGTTTCATGTTTTTTATGTATAACGTTTTCTGACGTTTTCTAATGTTTTTTATATGTGTTTTAATGTTTTCTTGGGTTTTAATGTGTTTTCATGTTTTTTTATATGGTTTTTAATGTTTTCTTGTTGTTTAATGTGTTTTCACGTTTTTTATATGTGTTTTAATGTTTTCTTGTGTTTTAATGTTTTTAACGTTTTCTATTGCAGCGTGTTTTATTGTGTTTTAATGTTTTTATATGTGTTTTAATGTATTTATTGTGGTTTATTGTGTTTTAATGTTTTTAAATGTGTTTTAATGTTTTCTTGTTTTCTAATGTGTTTTAATGTTTTTTTTAATGTGTTTTAATGTGTTCTTGTGTTCTAATGTGTTTTAATGTTTTTTATATGTGTTTTAATGTTTTCTTGTTTTCTAATGTGTTTTCATGTGTTTTATATGTTTTTTAATGTTTTCTTGTGTTCTATTGTTTTTTAATGTTTTGTATGATAACGTTTTCTATTGTGTTTCAATGTTTTTATATGTGTTTTAATGTTTTATTGTTTTTTCATGTTTTTAACGTTTTTAATGGTTTCTAATGTTTTTTAATGTGTTCCCGCTGCCCGTAACGTTTCTTAATGTTTTCTAATGTTTTTTAAATGGTTTTTAATGTGTTTCTTGTTTTTTAATGTTTTTCTTGGTTCTTAATGTTTTTTTTTTTAATGTTTTTTGATGTTTTTTAATGTTTTCTACTGGGCGGGCTCCCGCGCGCCCTGCGGGCGGCGGAGGGGGGGGCGCGCGCGCGCGCTCGGCCCCCGTGGGCACCTCGGTACAGCCACCGCAGGACGCGTGGGACCTCGGGGGACACATGTGGAGGCCCTGCAGGGACGTTGAGCCACGTCGGGAAGATCGAGGGGGATATCGCGCGCGTCGGGCGACCGCGGGGGCGTGTCTGCGCGCGCACTGCGCAGCGCATGCGTGCACGCGCGCGCTGCCCCTCTAAGTGGCCTGTAGTGCCGCGCTGCAGGCGACGGGGAGATAGATCCCAAATGGTCTGAATATTGCGCGACCGCGAAAAAAAAAGTGCGGGTCCAAACATGTGCGTGTGTGTGTGCTCGTGTGAGTGAGCGCGCGCGCGTGGGGATGAGGAATAGTGTGTCTATAGGATGGGGAAGCGATGCTGAGTTTCTGAATATTGCGGGACCGCGAAGACGGCTGGCCGGGCCAGCGCCTGAGGGGGGGGTCGACCACCGCGGGCCTATATTGGCCTCTCCCCCCGCTCTCAGGAGATCCTGGATCCCGAACGGTTCTTTCGCCTCCGTGATCTCCCCCCCAAAAAAGAGGGAGGGGGGGTGATGGCCCCCAAGGGCAAAGCAAAGATGACCCCCGCCCAGAAGAAGCAACGGGCGAAAGAGCGCCGCGACAACCCTGACATCAGGGCACGCGAGAACGAGATGCAGAGGCTGAGGATCGGTTCAATTGTCACCTCTTTAGCAATCGATGGCATTCTCGGTTCTGTGTTCTACCGTCATCTTCAATGAGCACAGGCGAAGATCGAGGTGGACAGTGAGGGTTTGAGGAAGATGAGGACGAGGAGGAGAAGGAGGAGGAGGAGGGGGAGGAAAAGGATGGGGAGGAGGAAAAGGAGGAGGAGGAGGAGGAGGAGGAGGGCGAGGAGAAGGAGGCGGAGGAGGGAGGATGAGGAAGAAGAAAACACGGGAGACCCTGAGGGTATCGGGACCGCAGGACCCAGATGAAGGCCAGCAAGGCCGCTGTGCGCAAAGAGTTCAAGGGCCTCTACGGGCCTGCGAGGAAGGAGTTCGTCAAGGTGTGGCGCGAGACAGGCTCTCGCGGAGAAGGAAGGAAGGGATATGCGAGGGAAAGGACGGGAGAGGGAGGAGGAGGAGGAGGGGGAGGAGGAGGAGCAGGAGGAAGAGGAGGAGAAAAAGGAGGAGGAGGAAAAGGAGGAAGAGGAGGAGGAAACGGAGGAGGAGGAGGAGGATGAGGAGGAT